TAAGCACATCCATAGACACGCTAGTAAGTATACTTCAAATGACGCCAGACAGCAACACTTGGAGACTGTCTGGCAAGGCATTAGTTACGCACCGCACGTTTCGTAACTGACTCCGATCTACTGTAATACGGATGCAGGGCATGCAAATCGGCTCTTGCTAGTTGGCTGCCATCTGAATTCAAAAGCTTCGAAGTGTTTATCAGCGCCGACCAGGGAGAGCTTTAAACGGCTTATTTGTGTATGTATCTTTTAGCTGTGTTGTGGTTTTTGCCCAAGTTGAAAACATGTTGACGTCTTGAATTGTGTACCAAGTTTGGTATATGTGGATCTACATATTTAGTGTTTCATCTGATGAGTTCACACGTAATAAAGGCCCTATCTTCAGTTTTTGTTTTACAGCGCAGTTAATAAACTTAGTAAAAAACTAAAGTTCGTAAATTGGGAATTTCTAAAAAAATACTGGGTTTTAATAAGCACTGAAAATAATTTACTGATTTAGGATTGATTTAAATTCTATTAGGGCTTGAAAATTTCTATGTAAAATTTATTGGTATTTCTTGAATTAACCAGAGTTCTGTATGAAATTAAAAAAATAGGTTCTTGTGGTTTTTGCTGTTAAATAAGCTACTTATATTTTTATTTAAAAAAATTAGAAAAATTTGGTATGAATAATATAAATAAATAAAATCTGTGACTGTGTATACTATCATACCAACAGAGTTGATTATGACGCCAGTCCACCATTAACGACGTCCAAATCGCGATCGCTAGCGATCGACAAAATTTACTGCGTTCGTGTGAAATGAGCAACCACGTGACCATTGTGTGTCGCTGATGTTGGTGTTGTTGACCGGCGACATTCTTGGGGAAGCCGTTTGTGAAGATTATACGGTTGACAAACGGGCTAGCTTATTTGCATAAACAGCCTTTATTTGCTTTAACTCATGCATTTTCCTCTTTCAAATGCCCATAAGCAGCCGAACAAATGCATGAAATTTTTGGAAATTAATCAGGGGAATTTTCGATGACAACACTGGTAAAAACGGCCAGTAAGTGATAGTTGCTGGCTACATGCCTGTAGCTGCCAGGTTCGATTCTCGGTTGGAGCTATTTCCAAAAAAAAAATTTGGTTTTTATTATTTATTTTATTTCTTTTTCATTTTGTTTGATTTATATATTTAATTTTACTTTATTTTATTTTCATTTGCTTTATTTTACATCACATTTTTTATTTTACTATTAGTTAATTTAAGTGTTTAGAGTTGAATTTTTTTAAAAAGTCAGCAACAACTAACGGAAAGCAACATTAAAAAATATAGAAGTTATTATAAAAAATGAATAAAAGCGAAATAAATGAAAATTCCATTGACTGTAGGACTCGAACCCACAACCTTGCGGCTCGTTAATCCGCAATACTGCCGTCATTCAAGGCAAAACTATTATGCGCATTTGTGTGGTAGTTTATCTGCATAAGCATGCCCGTCTGTCTAGAGTTTTAGCCAGCTAAACGGGTATGAGTGCCATGCGAGACACTAGATTTGCTAAAGCCACGACTTAAAAGTATAGACAAAATATATACATATGTATGTATGTACATTAACGTGGGCTGAAAATCCGCTTTCTAAGAGTATTGATTGCTAATAGAAAAAAATAAGGTATATTATGCTTTAAAAAGAATCTTTGCGAAAGATAAAAAGTGTTGGTCAATATCTTAGGCCCGCCCAAGTCTATCAAAGTCCAAAGTGGTAAAAAAAAATATTTTTATTTTTCATTTTTATCCGTGACTAATTTGTTATCAGTTTTAATGATTAATCTCACATCTACCAACGTTAATGTTAGAATAGCTGTAGTAGCACGGTTACTAATGCTGTACCTTTGACTTGCTGAAGCAGACTCTTTGAACTTGATTATATTTTGATTAAACTTTAAATTTGATTTTATCAAAAATTTAATAAACAGACGTAAAGTGTATTTTCTTCACAAAAAAATACATTTTTCCAATGATTTAATTTCTTGTATAATTAGCAATTTATAAATTATTTTTTACCCATAAATAAAAATTAAAAATATTTTTTTTTACCAAAATTGCAATTATCTCCGAAGCTATTAGTCCTACATAGTTTGGTATATGGACGTTTTTTCTAGAGAATTAAATTTGCGATCGAAATAAACTAAGAAACAAGATATTGACCAAAAATTTTCATCTTTCACACAGTTTTTTCTTAGTAAGCCAAATTGTTGCTATTAGCAATCAAAATTATAAAAAACGGATTTTCGGCTACACTGAAATATTTTATTTCTCTTCGTCTTTGTCCCTTTTAATTAAATTACGAACAATTCAGATTTGAGTTTAAACACATTACATATACATACTTATGTAACTACTTTAAACCGTGATCAATGTCTCAGCCAGTGCTTCTGTGGTTAAAACTCAAACACGTGAGTTTCCATAATACGAGTCATCGCACAATATTTTAGCTTCGTTTTACCTAGAACACTCCGCTTACTTACACATGGCGTGTCAACGTAATGAGAAAAGTTTCAGAGTCAAGATAAAGTATCTGTTATTGGATTATTTCAGGAAATATTCGCTATGAAAATTCAGCTTCTACGATAATTTTCGATCAGTTTAGGCTGAGTGAGAAATAGTGTCTATTGTAATTGTGGTCCGGTGATTGTAACGGTGTTTTTTTTTTTTTAATTTACTAATCGGACAGCCACAACATACAGCTCTCATACATCTGATTGTTCGAAATGCAATTTCGCGTTATAACTCCTCTACTTAAGCAGTGAAGAACGTAAAATTTCACCCAATTTTAATTAAGCCGAAACAGCATTGAACTTGGATTACTTAGAGGATATTATCAGGAAGCGCAGGTCACCAGTTACAGTCATCAAGGACGATTTATTCCACAAAACTTTAATTTGTTTATATGTTTTCTTTGATCCTCGTATAGTTTAGGAATCTCGCGAGATCCCTTGGCCGAATACCATTTATTTAGGTCATGTGCTTCTAGGTAGGGGCGGCAGTCATTGAATGGCAATCGATTTGTACCCCGTTTATTTTTATTGAGTCAATGCTTGCTTTTATGCTGCTTTAGGTCTTCTAGTTGATATTTCCGGGATAAAGGACTTCTTTTTACCACGCATATGTAATACTTTCGCATAACAGAGCTCCATGACAGACCGATTAAGGGTCCTGGACTCATGAATCCGTACGCAGCCTCTATGCCCAGAATTCCACCCAAATGAGGTAAACCCGGTTTCTGAATGCGATGGTTATTAAGAGCTGAAATTGTTTTCAGCAGCCACCCACCCACCTGAGCTCGAAAAAGCAAAATTTCGGATAAAATATATTACCTCAAACGAGACATTTGAAAAAAAATGTCAAGTTTTTTTTTTTTAATCTTCAATCGTAACCCTTTTTTAAGCTTGCACAAGATTATTTATAGAATAAGAAATCGTGCAAAACTCTTCGTCAACGTGAAAAATTAAAACATAGATAGTATAAATGTATGTATGTATGTCAAATCGAACTTTCTGATTCTATTTCCGCGGTGAATTTAGAAAATTTCACATTCAACTTGTAAACAGACATTCGTAGGGGGATAACAGCAAAATGCGTAGAAAAAGCCAGTTTAGTTTAGTTTAGTTACCACTAAAGCGATTACCGACTTTTTGCTGGGTTGTACCAAACTCGGTATGATTATAGCGATTCCCACATAAAATAAAAACGTCACGCCCACTTTTCATATAACGGTATATTTCAGAAATGTTTGAAACTTCGGTAGTTTGAAATTTAAGGACTCTAACTTACTCAAAATTTATACTAATAAGACTCTGTAGTTTTCAGCACACTTCAGGAAAACTTTAGCTAATACTTGCACCGGGTCTTTAATGTTCGGCTCCTCCCGAACTTAAGACTTTTTTACTTGTTACACTTAAGGCTAGGATATGTCAAAAACCTGGCGTCATAGAGCCCATCTGCGGGCAGATTGCAGTTCAGCGCATCAAAGTCCTTCGGGAATATATGTTAGTGTTTCTGCTTCTTGACCCTTGTTGGCCTGTGTAATTAATTCACAACACAACTGTCATTTGCATTCAATATGTTGCTTTTATTCATGGATTCATTCATGTAATATGTATCATAAATACATACTTAAGTACGTATATACACACAGATGTGAGTACATTAGGGTGGTCCAAAATAAGTAAAGTCGGAATTTTAACGCTCTCACCCCCTCGAATTGTTCTATATCGAAAAAACTATACCCCTATTTTCTTATTTTGAAATCAAAAAATATTTAGAGGACGCTCAAAGCGCTCAAAGTTTTCCATGTATTTTATATGGAAAAAAACAACTGTTCGTGGAAATGGTGTGGAATCGTTGAAAATCAATATTTTTCGTTCGGGAAACTCTGGTTCTCTTCAGGAGACTTCCAATAACCATACCCAGTTGCTTATTTAACAATTTTTTATACTAAAGATTTTTCATTTATCCCCCTGTTGCATTTGCTAGGGGTTCTGGCGGACCTTTTTAATATAGTTACTATGAAAAAATGGTTAGAAAATTAATTGGGTATTATTATTATTGGAAATCTCCTGAAAAGGAACAGGGTTTCTTTTTGGACCACCCTAATGCACATATATGCTCGTTTGACAAACTTAACGGTTGTATATAAAACTATACAATTTAACAGCTACTTAATTTCTCTATAGGTAGTTATACATACTTACATAAATACACACATAAGTTGGTATTGTATAAATAAACAATGTACATAGATACACATGTGTGTTGACAAATGAACTACCTTAGTAGTATAGCTTTGTGTGTATGGATATGTATTTTTCCTATAAGTAGAATTGTCGTATTAATATGTCTACTGTATATTAACTATAGATAACTAATAAGAGTTCATTTATCTTTTAATTACTTAAGGCAGGGTCATGCTTTCACTACAAATTTTGATAAAGCAAAAGTTTTTTTTTTAATAAGGTTCTGATATGCAGTTAATTGTTATTGAATGTTAACCTATTTTTAAAGCTAAGGAATAAAAGCTACAGCTGCAGAAATTTGTATCGCCTTCCAAAGTTTATTCATACATATTTACAAGGCTATATTCCATTCATTGCGTCATAATAATTTCCATTTAAAAAAATAAGAAACTTAGAAAAATACTCTTTCGCTTAAAAAAAATAAAAATTTTTAATAGAATCATCTTTGAATAAAAAAAT